GCTCTCGAAACACGGGGAGCTTTATCTCTTTTAACTTATGCTTGTAATGGACAGGCCTGGCTAATGAAAATAAAGTTGGGGACTACTCCAATCCTGATGACAGCTACCCTCTTTGTATTACAAGATTAACACCTGGTGGAGCTTAACGCTGAGTGTCTGCACTCTAGCTAGTCATTTCCATTCGGAGACACTGACTTAGAATAAAAAATCTCAAAATGAGAAAGTGTAGACAGAGAACGCAATTGGTTAAAAATAGGGAGAAAGGTTAAATTTGCAGACAAATAGCAAGACAGTCACATCTATGGAATCAACCAACAGGTAAATCCCTAACAGTTCCACCTAAATACTTTTTTAAAAACTACTAAAGAACAACTTATTTTTTAAGAGAGACTTTAAAAGCACACATCAAAACTGTGGAAGCAGGTCTAATCTAATATTGGCATGGTCTGAGAAACCGTGCTTGCTGAAATAATGCATGGAGCTTGGAAATGTTAAGCTCTCATCTGGTTTTTCCTTTTGCTCCTCTCCTTCCCCACCCCATTACCAGGACTGTAGAATATATCTTTACTTCCAGAGCTAGTCCTTTCATTTATGTTCTTCACCACCCTTGGAGAGCCCCCGGTGCTGACTCTGCCTGCTCTCCAGAAGAATACAGGCAGTGAGACAAAGTGACTGACCAAGCTCACTGCACCACTGGGCCTCAACCAGGAGTCCTGGCCATGTTTCAAATTTTCTTTGATTCTTAGAAGTTATTTTAACCTGCAGACAGTGTTGCTAGGTTGGTTACAAGTGCAATCAGTATTGCTAATTTTCATAACTTTTAGGAAATGCACCCAGCCCCAAAGTGTCTTGTAAATCGTGAAGCTGGTCAGCACAGATCAAGAGTGAGAATAGGAGAGACAAGCAGCTAGGCCAGGGGTCCTCAAACTTTTTAAACAGGGGGCCAGTTCACTGTCCCTCAGACCGTTGGAGGGCCGGACTATAGTTTAAAAAAAAAACTATGAACAAATTCCTATGCACACAGCGGTGGCAAAAACACCCGGAGGGCAGAATAAATGTTTTCAGCGGGCCGCATGTGGCCCGCGGGCCATAGTTTGAGGACCCCTGAGCTAGACAAACCTAAGTCACTACACAGAGGCCCAAGGGTGTTTCCCCCACTGGCCTGATCCTCAGGGAAGAAACACTGAATTGAGGACCAGGTGACCCAAACTGAAGCATCAACAGGTGCTCAGCCCTGACAAAGCCCAGACTCTGAACACGTGCTCACAGCTGCAGGTAGAGCAAAACACCTACCCCCAATCTACCTCACAGCATGAGGCAAATCACTTTTGACAACGGGGAAGTGCTGTATAAATTCCAGCCACTAATGAAAACTCATGGCATGGATTCACCAGCCTGCTGAAAAGATACACAAATGGAACAAATAAGGCTTACATACCAATTTACAGAACACATTGTTCCCAAAATATCAAATGAGGTAATACCAGGCCACATGACAGAGAAAAAAGCCTTTAAAATTCACATGGCTAGCTGGGCCAGTGTTGCTCAGTGGTTGAGCACTGACCTATATGAACCAGGAGGTCACAGTTCGATTCCCGGTCAGGGGCACATGCCTGGGTTGTTGACTGGATCCCCAGTGGAGAGCATGCAGGAAGCAGCCAATCAGTGATTCCCTCATCATTGATGTTTCTCTCTCTCCCTTCCTCACTGAAATCAATAAAAATATATATTTAAAAAAAAAACTTACACAGCTAAACACACTAGGCAGAAACCTCAAAGCAACTAGACTAGACTGACAGTAACCTGCTGGTTTTTATTGTACCCTAACACTTTGGTGGTATCAGAATTGCCTTAATTTTTCATGAGAAGTCTCCACCTTCCTTGTATAGAGTTAGCTAGAGTTTAAAATCTACCTAGAGAGAAATGGACAGGCAGAGATCTATACCAGTAAAAGACTCAAAAAAAAAACACATTTGTCTAATGCAATGATAAAAGATTTAAGTATCCATTACCACCACTAAGCCGTTGACTTCTCAGTAACCAGCCACAAATGGGAGCAGAGAAAGTCAGGGGAAGGCTTATCAGGAAGTGTTGACACAACATAAACATGGACTGTGGGCACCAAACCAAGTAAGGAAACCACAATTATACCACTCTTGATTTGGACGCACTTCCACTTTTTTTTTCCCAGACGGAAAAGTCTGGTGAGACTTGACACTGAAATCTCTAAAACTCACTCCTTCAACAAACCCGCTGAAAGGTGGGAAGGGAGAGCCGCAGTCACACTGGAGATAAATCTTAACATTAAAGCTCTCTCCACGGAAAGTTTCCCCATCACTGCATTTTTTTCAGTAACAAAGATGTTGTCAGAAATGACAATTTTTTTGTGTCCCCAGATGATGCCTTGCTAGCATTTGGTTATAAGCCATAAAGCAGGACTAATTTCAGCCTGTCAGGAGTCTCGCTAATGCCCAGTTTCCCCCTAGAGAGAATTCCTGTCAAATCTAATGAGAGCTCCAAAGGCCCTCTCTACAATATAATGAGCACTTAGGCCATGCTGGTGATCAGGCGGCAAAAAGCATCAATTTGAGCCTGGCTACACCCTGGGGGCCAGACGTCACCAGTTTTAATAAGAATTATGATTACTAGCTGCATAGAATGTCTCCTCAGAACTTATTATTAATGTGTGACATTCAGGAGGATGTTTTTCAAATGTAAGGCCACTTTAAACTGAATTATAGCACTGCTTTGCATACCACTCTTGTTAAGGGTCTGTCAGCATTTACAATATAAACTAAATTTCAGAGAGCTGAATTCCCTACTATGAAGAATATGGCATCTCTGAGCTTTTCACATTTTTCAAATTACTGAGCCAATTACATACAGCATATTATTAATGCATACTGGCTCATAGATGGACAAATGCCTCATGGAGTACAGGTTATTAGAAAACTATTTTCACACCATGGATGTTCCTGACCCTCTTCTCCCCTTCTTCCTTTTCCTATGCAAAGAGGTCACTGCCATGTAACCTATACGAACACAGAAGAAATACACACCTCCTTAGCTCCCCCAATAAATCCAGCACCAGCATATGTCACACAAAGGTGGCATTTCCTTGTAAAAGAGTCAGGGAGGTTAGTAAATCCTTTGAGTTAAGAAAAAAACTTGATGTTTTCTTAATCTTCCAGAATACTTGTTAGGAAAAAAAAAAAGAAAAAAAAAAGATGGAGTAGGGGACTTTAGGGTTAACTTATTCTAAACAATGACAGGTTAGAACTTTTTGACCAAGTTTATTTGCGTAATTTATTTAAATGACCACAGATCTTCTAGGCCAGCCTTGGGCAAACTACAGCTGGCAGGATTCGGGCAGTTTGAAATGAATAAAACTAAAAAAAAAAAAAAAAAAAAAAAAAAAAAAAAGACCTTACCCTTTTATGTAATGATGTTTACTTTGAATTTATATTAGTTCACACAAACACTCCATCCATGCTTTTGTTCCGGCCCTCCGGTCCAGTTTAAGAACCCATTGTGGCCCTCGAGTCAAAAAGTTTGCCCACCCCTGTTCTAGGCCAATTACTATCAACAAGTTACAAGTGTTCCAATCAGGCACTAGCCATTTAAACACACAAACACAAAGACACAAAAACTAAGGCACAAACCCAACATAAACTAAGCTACCAACTCTAAATCAGAATAAAATCAGCACTTTGAAAGGCCCAATGGTATTATTAATGAAAGGCCCTGAATGTCACTATCTCTTTCCAAACACATATCTGAGAACAGATCTAATGTACAGGATGATAACTTAACATTATGAAACCTATGATGAATTAAAAATCAAAGAGTGCAGAGTTACAAAAGCAGAATTCAACTCTGAGACACACTTGCTTAATGAAAGTCTTTGAATATAAGGAAGATCTGAAGCCTGAACTAATCAATTTCTCCACTGTGCCCCAGCCGGTCAGCCATGCTCTTTAATTTAATGAAACAAGGGTTTGAGATGAAATAGCACATATACATCAAGTAAGAATTGTATTGTTGCACTTTGAAATGTGTCCAACTGTGCAACTTCATCTGATGATAATTTTTTAAGAGGCAATCGATTTCTAAAAGACTTATTGTACCAGCGTCTTGATGAAAAAGTGAATGTCAGCATATCTCCAGAATACTTACGCCCTGCCATTAATGCTTTCTTTGGCAGACAATGACTACTCAATCGAGGGTCCTTTGGGCTGAGCAATCATTTAGCTTTTCTTCTCTTATGAGGTCCTTAGTGCCTTGTTCCAGCTCAATACTCTTTTTATACACCATTATAGTAGCCATAAGTGTGAATTTTATGGGAACTTGCAAACTCATAGTCATAGCTAGAGCTTTCCAGTCACTAATCTTTTCATGCTTTTAAAACCACTAGGACTGAAGCAACTCCCAACATATGCTGTGGCTAGAAAGGAACACTTTTTTTTCACCTCCAAACCTGCACCAATTGAGAATATTTTTTCCAAAAAGATATATGCAAATAAGCCACTAATTCTGATTAGCACTTTATGCAGCCCCAAAGCATAAAGAAAATTCCATAGTTAGTCTTATACCTTGTTTAACCTTATTTAAAGACGGGAGTCTTTCACAGGTACCACACTTCTTTCCAAACCAGAACAAAAACATTAGCAACTTCAGCAACTCTGCAGAATGCCAAAATCTTTCAGGGAGAATATATCTATCCAGGTAGAAAAGGAAACTCAGAGTCTCAATTCCCATCTGCCTATATAAACAAGCTAGTTTACATTTCCAAGAACCTCTCACTCAGTCATTTAAAAATTGTGTAACTGTCAAGAAGCAACCCTTGCTGCAGAATACTACCACCAGTTTGCAGGAAGGGAAACCAAGGCAGAAAAATGGCATACAACCCCCCCCCACCCCCCCCCCACCCCGAGGACAAAGCCAATATTAAAAAACCATGACTCATTTGTTGTTTTAGCTTGAGAATGAATAAAGCTTACCTGTTTGTGCATTTCTATGTTTAATCCATATGACATTTCATAATACTGTAAAAAAAAAGAAGCAAGCATTTCATTAACTCACATTTTATAATGCTAAAAACACATATTTGCTCATATTACATGAAGAGGAAAGAGTCTAATCTTAGATACCTACCATCACATAGTGCCTCTGCATTTCTGTCTTTTCACTTGCCAGTTTCTCACATTCCAATTTAAGGCTACGAAAACAAAACAGGCAACTTAATGTAAACATTATGTCACTTGTTTTAACATCTGCCTCACATATTTGCACTTCAAGTAAAAACACAGACCAATTGGGAAAAGCCATAAACTATCTAGGTCAGTGGTCGGCAAACTGCGGCTCTCGAGCTACATGCGGCTCTTTGGCCCCTTGAGTGTGGCTCTTCCACAAAATACCACGTGCGGGCACACATGTACAATGCGATTGAAACTTCGTGGCCCATGCGCAGAAGTCGGTATTTTGTGGAAGAGCCACACTCAAGGGGCCAAAGAGCCGCGTGTGGTTCGAAAGCCGCAGTTTGCCAACCACTGACTAGGTTAACACCCAAAAACTTTGTCCCTTCCTTTAACAGAGAAAAGAAATTAAGTGAGCATTACAAGGTACCCACTCAGCTATCCTTTTTCTTCTTGGTGCATCTGACCTGGTCAGATGACAAGAAGGAAAAATCTGTCTAAACCTCTGATCTACTCATAAGACTGTTTTCTCCTGGCGGTCATCTGTTCACTCCTACTTCCCTGCATCAAGGTTAGCTTCTCCACCAAAATCTGGCTGTGGCTTACTCTTCAGTCTCAGGCATAGGCTATACTATCTTTGCCAACTCAGTCTCTAGGTTGTAAAGTTACTTCTACATTTGTTGGTCCCTTTTAAAAACTTTGGTTTTTAAATCCCTGCCAAAATATGTCAAGCCAATACTGCAATAGTGGGTTGAAGTCCCTCCCTGATTGGTAAACATGGTGTGGGCAGGTATGCCTCAATCTCTAGAGATTATCATCTTCAAGTAGACAAAAGGTCAATAATCAGAAAGCCTCGGACAAAATAAGAAAATTCAGCCCTAGCTGGTTTACTAAGTGGTTAGAGCATTGGCCCGAAGACTGAAGGGTCTGGGGCTTCTTGATTCAGGTCAAGGGCACATACCTCGATTGCAGGCTCAATCCCCACCCAGGTCTGGGGCACATGTGGAGGCAACCAATCAATGTGTCTCTCTCACATGGATGTTTCTCTCTCTCTCCCTTCCCTTCCGCTCCGTCAAAAAATCAATGGTAAAAAATAACCTTGGGTGAGGATTGACAACAAAAAAAGAAAAGAAAGACAATTCACACTAATGGATGTGTGTGCCTTTTCTTAACCATGACAAAAATAAAGTCAATTACAGCGCTAGCTGGTTTGGCTCAGTGGATAGAACGTCAACCTGCAAACTGACGGGTCCTGGGTTCGATTCCAGTCAAGGGCACATACTGGGGTTGTAGGCTCAATCCCTCAGCAGGGGGTGTGCAGGAGGCAGCGGATCAATGATTCTGTCTCATCACTGAGGTTTCTATCTCTCTCTCCCTCTCCCTTCCTCTGTGAAATCAATATAAGTATTTCTTAAAATAAAATAATAAATAAAATTGTCAATTGCAGTTATTTCTTAGCTCTGATCAGTTAAAACTTCATAGAAACAAGAGAAGAAACTTAACATTTTTTTTGAAAGTCCACCATGAATTGGTTGCTTTACAGTTTTCACTTAGAAATCTTTTGAAGTAGGTCTCATTAAATGGGACTAAAGCTGAGATGGATATAAATGTAACTCCAATCCCCTGTCCTACCCAAACCAACCTAGAATGACACCAAAGCTGGTGAGTTTCCCTTACACACATCAACCTCCTCATTACCACCAATACTAGACACAGCAAAAAGCATCTAACTTTCCATAATGGACTTTGCCTCAGACCACCCAATTCTCTAGCATGGCAAACAAGTGATTTCAACACTGGCTTTAACTCCCTGAACCCGCACCCCAGGGCTGGGCCATCGGCTGAACCAAGGTTTTAGCTCAATCTGTTGCAAAATAAATAAATGTAGTGCAAATATTGATGGTTCTCATGCAATTCCTAAATACACGAAAATAGACTCCCTGGAACAGCAGCAAAAGGGTAAATGGGAAACAATGGGAGTAGGAGGAGACAAGAGAAGGGGCTGCCCAGGAAGAGCCAGGAAAGAGGGTACGTGAATGACAGATCTTTACTGCGACTCCACACGCCACCGCCTGGACGCCTGAACTAAGTACAGCCGTCACCACCACCTCCACCCAGCTGGGCGACGAGGAGCACCGGGCTGTCCCGGCGAATATTCGCCCGTCAAGGCCGGACACGCACCTGTGATACTGAGCCTGCAGAAACTGGAATTCCTCTTTAATGCGGTCCAGGGACTCTGGAATAGTGAACTTGAAGGGCTGGCCTGCAGCCTGGTGCGGCGTCTGGGGCGACAAGCGTGGGGGACAGAGGGTCGGAGATGTGGGCGGATGGATAAAGCAGTAAATCAGAGGAGAGAAAAGTGGGTGGGATACAAACAAAACAATAAAGTTAGAAGTGGTGGAAAACGGAGTCTTGAATTCGAGTTTGCGCTTTACTTTGGGGAGGGAGAAAATGAACCCTTCTCCAACCCCCAGCTTCTAGAGAGGCTCGGCGCCTCTTCCAGCCTCCAGGGTGGGTCGTGGTAAGTGCTCCGGGTCACCCGGCTGGAAGGAAAGGGGTTCCCCAGCCGCCTCTGAGAATCCGGCCAGATTGTGGAGATCGCCGCCCCCTCCCCCCGGGGGCGAAAATGACCCCGGGGACTAGAGGAGAAAAACAACTCCCAATCGCTCCCAGTTCCCAGAGTCGCCTGTGCCACCTCCAGGCGCGCCAGAACGGGGGGCCTCATTGATATGCAAATAGGCGAGACAAGAAACAAAGGGGGGGCGCCCTACCCACCCCGGGAAGGGGAGGATGTGGTGGTGGGAGCCAAACCCCAGCCTCCCCGGGCGCCCCCGCCCTCCCTGTCTAGACGTCAAGTAGGAGTGGGCCCACGGGAATTGGGGGGAAATTGGGAGTTTCAGCCCATAACCCACCCCTGGAGGCCAGCAGCCGGGACCTCCCAGCCTTGCACTTCCAGAGACCGGGGGTGGAGTGTTTGGGGGGATGGGGGGTGTCGGCCAAAATGTAGCAGTCACCCACCTCCCTCCGGCTAGGAAGAGCACCTCCCCCCACCACAGCCCTGCCCCCCCCCCCCCCCAGTCCCCCAGCCAGCCGCGCCTCACCGGGTGCCGGCTCTGCGGGAACATCGCTCTGGCGGTGGCCGCGGCCCTGTTCCCGGGCAACTCAATTCTCCGCTCAATTTCCAACTTTAATCCCGCCGAGGACAATTAAGCTGGGAAGCAGGCAGAAGCGGGACGCGCCGGGGGCCCGCGGGCCACGCACGAAGGCGCGCTCGGAGGGGCGCACCGGCCACTCGGCACCCCGCGGCTCCTGCTCCCGCCGGTGCGGGCTCCCACGTTCAGGGCCACATCGCGGGGCACCCCGGGCCCGGCTGCACCCAGAACCTCCGCGGCGACGCACTGTTTTCCAACCCGCGGGCCTCGACCGCCCGGGCGGGGAGGTGGGGGCGCGGCGGCTCCGGCCCGCTCCCGGAGGCTATCCGCGTGCGCGGCAAACGTCCCGGGCAAACAAATCCAGGCGGGTTGCTTTCCTTTGCTCTTCTCCCGGGGCGTCTCTTCTCCCGGGTTTCCCCGTGGCGCCGGCGGCGGACGAGGTGCAGGTGGTTCGGCGCCCCCGGCTAACCCCACACAAACAAACCCGGTGACGTTCGGAGCCGACCCCCGCGGGTCCAGGCAGCGCCTTCGGGCGGGCGGTCGCAGGCCCCGAGAGACTTGAGGGAAGCGAGGTAGGGGCCGCGGTGGAGGCTCAGTCCCGGCAGAGGAGCGCTGGATGACGCCGAGGCGGGGAAAGTGCGGAGGACGCGCCGGGAGGCTGCTCGGCACACCCCGCGCGACCGGCACTCGATGTTCTTTCCGGTAGCACAAATGTTCCAGGCCCGATGGGGGCTACTCCACGGAAGGTAGTCCCCCGGCCGCCCGCGGCTCCTGGAGGCTGGGGCGCATCCGGACGCGGCGCCCGATGAGCACTCTCCCCGCACGACCGGCCCGGCCGCTTCGGACCTTTCCTCCGAGCCCCTTCCTCGGTCTTCTTTCCTTCCCTTCGTCTGCCTCCACGTAAAAGGCGCTCCAGCCCGCTGCAAAGTTCTCTTACGACCCGGGCTACGACATCTAGAGATGGTGGCGAGGAGAGCAGGAGTGAGCTCTGCGGCTCGGCCTCCCTCCCGGCCGGCAAACTCCGCGGGCGAGTCTGGAGTAGTCGCGACGCGGGCAGCCGGCGGGGGTTAAGTTACCGCCGACCGGCTGAGGTCCGGGCTGGTGGCGCGGGTCCCGCCCGGCCTGGAATAGGTGTGGGGGGGGGTACAAGGGGGGGTGCAGCCAGCTGCCTCGGGGACGCGGGGCACAAGGAACCCGCCGACGCCGCCGCTGCTCCTGCAGCCGCCGCCGCCGCCGCCGCCCGCGTATCTCGCGCCGGTTACATTAACACGCGGTTTCACACTCCGGAGCTAACCAGCGCGAACCCCGCCCAGCCCCACGCGGGCCCCGCCCAGCTCGGCGCAGGAGGGGGACGCCAGCACCGAGCAGGCGGGCGACGGAGGCCGGGGCGGTTGGGAGGGGGGAGCTAGCCAGCGTCAGCCAATCGCGTGTATCGCGCCCAACGTGGGGTGCAGACGCCATACCTCCCCGGAGCCTATGGCGGCGCAGCACTGGACTGGCCGCCCTGCTCCCACTCCCCCTCCTCGTCTATCCTACTGGCTTCCATCTCCGCTGTCTCCCCCGTCTCCCTCCCACCCCTCCTCAGCCAGCCGCGTCCTACCGAGCTGGGTGAGGAACTGTTCCTGGAGGACCCGCGGGACGCGAAGCCAGCCAATGGGAAGCGGCGAGACGCGGAGATTGGCGTTGTGGATGGGAAGGTCGGTGGGAAGGAGAGCCGCGGAGCCGGGCTGTCAATCAAAGTAACGTGGGGCCGGAGAGGGAGCGCGCTGGGCGCGCGCGAGCAGGAGGGACCGGCAAGCGTTTCTCCGCGGAAGCTGGGGGCCCGAGTTTGCAAAAATCCTGCCACTTGTTCACTTTTCCCTGGAATGAAAATCCTGAGATTTAATGAAAGTAACTCAGAGACTGACTGTCTGCGTAGTTTGTTGGAGGGGGATTAGGGGAAGAGGAAGGTAGGCTTTTTGTAGTTGAAGCCAAATGCATCTTTAGGGTGTTGGCCTCTTGTTTGATTCTCTTTTGAGCGTGAGGTCACATTTATATATATGTGAGCTCATGTATATATATATGAGAGAGAGAGAGAGAGAGAGAGAGAGAGAGAGAGAGAGAGAGAAACATCAATGATGAGAGAGAATCATTGATTGGCTGCCTTCTGCACGCCCCCTAATGGGGATCGAGCCGCAACCCGGGCATGTGCCCTTGACCAGAATGGAACCCTGGGACTCTTCAGTCCACAGGCCAAACCGGCTAGGGCGTGAGGCCACATTTAAAAATTTCTCTGAGGTTTGTTTTTCCTTGAGTTGCCTTTTCGCTATTGCACAAGGAGTGGTCTGTGCACTTAGTGGAAAATGCATAAATGGGCAAAGCACTGGCTGTCTTAAAAGGCCAGGCTTTTCATGCCCACGCCCCCTTTGCACCCAGCATTGCAGGATTTGATTTTTATCTGACATTTTTTCAAACCATTTTGCAAAATAGTCAATCTGCCTTCCTTTGGCAGCAAGTATACCCAAGGTGCTGCCAGGGTAAGGTCACAAATGCGATGCTTTGCCCTGCTGCTTGAAATTTAGGGTCCTTGTCTTAAAAGTCCCAACTTCGCAGTGTTGGGGAATAAGACGCTGCTGAGAGTTTTAGGGTCCTCCGCAACCCGACCTTGGTTCTGTCTGCAATTCCTGGAAACAAAGGGAGACAATAGGATAAACGTGCATTGAGACCTGAAAAACCACCCCTGCCCACCCCCCACCCATAGTTTGGGTGGTACCTGAGGGCTGAGTTCTAAGGAGCTAAATGGGAAGCGTTGGTGTAAATGCCTTGACTAAAATTATTATGAAGTGGAAGTTGACTTAAAAGGGATTTTGAGATTTTCAATAAATAGGCATACTGTATAAATTTCCAGTTTTTGTCTGTTTTTCCAAATACCCCACACAGCAGAAAACCTTCAGTATTGCTGCATTTATACTTCTGTTTAAAGAACAGTTCAGTGGAGCTATTTCCACATGATTAGTGAGTGAATAATGCTGTTTTAGCCTAATGGTGGTGAATTCTTCCTTGAGAAAGACACATCTTTGACAAGCATTCATTTTATGTTGGATTGTACTTACCAAGTTTTTAGTGCTAATAACTAACACCGTGGTCCTATTATTTTACTTTCCAGAGACTTATGGAAAGACATTTATTTAAACAGAAATACAATTTATTTGATGATCTGCTTTTGCAGAGATCTTTTTCTTGAAATATTAAAAGCATCCTTGTAGATAATACATTTCACTATTGGAGTTGTTTTTAAATATGTATGATATTGATTTGTCTATAATTGCATCAATTCCAGATATCAATTATAAATAAAAAATTAAAGAGTGATTTTTACCCAGCCTTTACAAGACCATGCTAAATTCTTAAACAAGTTTGGCTTTGTGACTTTCAGTGTTCTTATTAAAGAAGTTTAGGAAGGAGGTCATATTATTCATTTTGCTAAAATAGAGAATGGGAAGGGGGCACTGCCCCTCTTTTCTTGGTTAAATTTAGTGATGACCGGAACAGGCTTGCTCCACACACGGGACTTCTTAAAGTTGTATGATCCACGGGCAACTAAGTTTGCCCTCTGGCAAACTCTCTGCCTTGAAATCTTCACCTAGTGATTGGGCCACAGACGCCACGTATGATCAGCTCCAGGACATTGTAGAAAGTCCGTGGATATCACAAATATGCCTGTGTGTTTTGGGCTGGAATAACTGGGGCCACTAAGACTTCTCCTTGGTTTACCCAAGTTTTACTTTGATTTAGTGGCACAGGCTGATGATTAAGTTTAACAGGAAGGAAAACATTGCTACTTCTCTTCTCTCCTTTCCATCCCTTTCAAAATCACTTCTAACACGGTGCCTTTAAATGTTCTCTAATACAGCTATTCAAAGCAGACATGTCTACTCACTGTATTTCCCAGTTTGCCATGGGTGACAATTTGAAAGTCTCTTTTGACCAATGCTTTGTTACCAGTAGAGTTTGAAACACTGGGCCGTCTGATTTCCGTATACTGTAATAACTGGAAAAAAAAAAAGAGTAATGACTTTTAAATTGGAAGGCCTTTAATTGTGTGCATAAAGATGGTGGGTTTTCAGTGGCTTCTTTCTAGGCCAGCGCATTCTCCTTGAGAGAAGGGCCCCCTTTCAAGGTCATATTTTCTCTGTGATTGTCATGCTGTAATAATTGCACTGTAAAACTCTCCTCAAACTGCATTACAAGTGATGGTGTTTAAATAATCAAGTAGCTTTAATCTTATGTTTTAAATAAATAATACATGTGCAGATTGCCTACAGCCTGTTTAAAAGAAAATAGTCCTACTCATGAAATCTGTAATTTTGATCTTCTATTTAAAGTCTGTTAAACATCATCTTCTTTACCTTTAACATATTCATAGGATGATGATGGTTTTACACGAAATAATATTGAGCATTCTGCTTCCATAGGAAAAAAAACTGTCTCTGAAAAAATAGTTGTATTTTTATCTTCTGAAAAAGGAACAAAAAGATCATCAGATTGTTTATCACTGGCCCCTATATGTATATATTTACATTGATTTGTTGCTGATTACAAATGCTCAACTTACCAATGGTATAAGTAACTACAAAATTAGATGCTACATATAGTAGCAATAGGAAAAATTATGGCTGCTGGTTATAGAAATGATGGATCTTCTTTTAAATTTATTACTTTTTTATTTGCAATAAAGAATAATTATATCAATGTTTAAAGGATGTTTTGTCATTTTCTCTATCTTTTAACTGTGAGCTATTGCGTATGCATTTCCTCATTTGCCTTTTTTTTTTTTTTTTTTAGCTGGGAGTTTCTTAAACCTAAGAATGTAGGGTACAGAAATGTTTTTTTCCTAGAATTGCTTTATAACCTACCCTTCCCACCTCTTTACCAAAGAAAAGGACGGGATGGGCATGGGGGCGGGGGTGGGTGGGTGGAGGGGAGAAAGCAGAAAAGAAAAAAAAATCAGTAGCAGATCCATGGAGCAGTAAAACCTCAAATAAAATCACATCCAAAGAATCTCTTGTGGTTTCACACAGTATGGTAAAATTAGAGATTGCAGGAAACCAACTAAATTAAACTGGGAGCATTTGAAGAGAAATGAGCAGACTTTATGAAAATGACACATTGACTGACCAGTATGCTTTTTTATCAACAATTTTTTGTTAAGACGCAGATCAAAGGAACCTGCATATGTTTTCATTTTGTTCTAACTAGAAAATTACATCCAGATGTTTAATAGGCATTCGGTTGGTTTTTCAGCATTGATTAGATATGTTGGTTCTGTTTGCTTACAAGTGTAGCCGGATCATTAGCTAATGCAAAGAAATGTTTGCTGTGAGTTGCTAATTAGGGCTTTTGGAAACCCTCCATACTCAAGAACAATTTGTACAGTGGCCAGAAGAACTTGTGGGGCTCCGGGAAGTTGTTTTCCCTTTTATGTCTGGGTGGGGAGAAGCAGACAACCCCGTTCCCTAATCTCCCTTTGCCCACGGGGATTGCGATGCTATCCCTGAGAACTAGAGTGCAAATAAATTAGGAAGAGACCACACAGGCACTCCCAAACACAGAGATAAGTGTGCTCTTTCTGGAACAGCCACCAAGTGTGTCTTTGGGGCTGGGGGGAGCGAACATCTAAAACGCTGAACATTAACATGTGGAAGATGCTTGGTGCTAATGTTATCAAATACACAGCCTTTTTAAGTATACTTTAGAGACAGATGGGAAAGCCCTTTATGATAAACGAGTGTACTTGAATTCATTACTGTAGTACTTATAATTAAAAATGTCTCCTTTGCAATTTCAGTACTTTAACAGGGTACAAGAGACCAAGCTTGGAAAGGGAAAGGCTGGGGCTGAGCGAGCAGAATTTGGGGCTGGAGGATGAGCCTGGGAGGAAATGCAATGTTTACTTTCACAGCCCACCCATTTGTTTACCTTGTTAAAGCCCCAAAACTTGTAGGAGATTACCCATTCAGGAGGCTTTCAAATAAACTGTTTGAGAATTTGAGGCACCAGGCAGATAAACATCTTGGCTGGCCAATCATGTTTTTTAAAACCACTTGGCCTGCAGAAGAACACCACCTCTGCTGGGGTCGAACTTTTGTTTATTTAAGTCTGTATTTCTAGAGAGAGGTATTGGGCCAGAATAGCCAGTGTTTATAAACCGTCATAGAAGTGCAGATACAGATACTATAGTTGCATGCTCTGCGTATGCATGCCCCTTCCAAGCCTGTTTACATCTATCTTGTACACATGTATGGCACATTCCTATGTGTTAAATGCAGAGAGATTAATTTGGGATTTTCACACCAATAGAATAGATTCATTAGGTGTTTTTGTTTTGTTTTGTTTTGTTTTTTAATAGTTCAAGCAGAGGGCTTTTCCGTCTGAGCTTTCCAAGTTCACTTAGGGAGATGTACTTGAGAAGCAAGAACAGTATTTGGGTGCAAAATCAGATACTGCCTCGAGCTCAGGCCATAATAATGGGTCTCAG